GGTCCACGTAACAGTTGGAACCAATGATCGAATATCTCGGACAGTATGGCTCAAAATCGGTTTGATGATTTGCATCTGTCGCGAATTAAATAATTTGTTAGTTGTGTAAATAAGATTAGCTTAATTGCTATTTGAGGCATAAAAACGTTCACTTCCTTGTTGGAAGCATTCTTCTTTTTGAGTGATCTGAGAAAAAACTCAATTAGTAGTGATTTCGACAATTTTGGACCGCAACCTTAGAGTACAAAATTCAGGTTAATGAGGCGGTAAACCACCACTTACCTTGCTAGATTCAGACTAATTGGTTAGGATCTGCGCATAAACTTCGAACAGTGGTTGAAGACGTTTTATCCAATATTTAATCTTTCTCCTTATCATTAATACTACAATGGTTTCAACTCATTTGTTATTCATTATCTTCATCCCATCGTCATAATGTAGTTTGACAATATGGGCTGATACACTTTTATGCTAGACTTTATGTTGTTTATGACTAACTACTGTGTTTATACGATAGTGTCTATTCTTTTTTTTCTTAACTCATTCTTTTCCAGTTAATGATCAATGAGATCGATTTGGCCATGACTAAACATGAACACTTGGACTCTAATCTTTGAATTAACTCAATAAATATATTCACTTATAACGATATTGTGTATTGCATAAGTTTCAATTTGTGGTGATTCATTTAAATACTACTTGATTACAATTGTATACTTCTTTTCAGTAACTGTTATCCGATTATGATAAATATTTTCTCTCTCTCTCTCTCTCTCTCTCTCTCTCTCTCTCTACCTACCTACCTACTTACCTACCTACCTACCTACTTAGCCCATTTGATTTTGTTGACAACTTTGTTTTTTTTCTATGATATTTTGATGCTATTGGACAAACTATTTTTTTCTAATTGAGTTACACGTACATATACACAAGGAAAATATTGTGATTTATAACTTTTCTTAATCACATATACATACCTATAAATCTATTATTATCATCCGTTAACAGAATTAATAACAGATTCTCTCTATATGTTATTATCCATTCTATAATTGAATTATAATGTATAGCTGATAAGAATCCGTTTTTTCTTTTGATTATATCCAGTTGTAATTTGGTTAGAATGGTTGATATTCCCCCTACTAATAATAATTACACAATCTAAATAACTTTAAATTCTTGTTAATGACACTTTGACAATTATGTCATATCTTTAGAGTTATTATTTTATTATTGTAGGACTTTTTCTTATTATTCATTAAATAGAACTCTTACTTCATGGGAGACATACAAGTGTATCGTTCAGTGAATGCTTGTCATAAAACGTTGACTACTAATTAAACTTAAGTAGAAATGCATATGCAGTTTAAGAAACCGTGTTTTTTTTTTACAGTTACATTGTGCGGATAGTTAACATAGACTTAGTTTGTAATTAGTTCTTGTTATTATTCGCTTTTTTTTCTGCATATACTAGATGTTACTTAAACTGTCCGAAGTAGGCGTGTTCTAGTTTCTTTTAGTCTTGTAATCCACAATTATAAGTATTTAGTAATTCCAACTATGATTGCTATAATCCGAAATGTATATCTAGATAAAGCATGTAATGAGAATATCTATATGATCTGTAAACATATACAGCAAACATATCAGAGTTCTGTTATCATAACAGAGGATAATTGAATACAAGAAGTATATGCGTACAGCAGTGTATTTGTTAGCGATAATCAATGTGTCATGCAAGAGGGATTCAAAATCAGAACGGATGATCAAAGATCATGTTGTTTTTTAAACAACAATTTTACAGTCGATAATGGTAATTCGATAAATTATGAGAATTGATAAAAGAAAATGTGAATAGTAACAAGAACTAATTACAAAATAAGTCTATGTTAACTATTCCCACAACATAAATCCGCCATTGTATATAGCTGTTGAGACTTTAGTTTTATCCCTTGTTGGGGACGATAGATTCCCAAAAACTCATAGTTTGTAATTTTATCTTTGTGGAACTTCTATGCAGATGTATGCGTGGGCATTTCTTACCACCCACGCACATAGTCGATTGATGAACTTATCGATTAAATGTTTAAATATATCAATGGCAATCAATTGACGAACTTACTGATTAATGTTTAAAAACATTTTACCATGACAATATCGATTGTAAACATTTGTATAAATACGCTTGACTTGTGTGCTTGACCTGACTTGATATCTGCTGTTTACCTGTAGAATACACTTTATACGCCTCACCCAGACTTCTTGATCGCGTTAGCTGAGTCGGGTACAACGGACCAGAATAGCCTATCGAGATTCTGAATCCCTTGATCCGATCGATAAGTTACTGTCCTTTAATCCTGATATCAACTCCGGATCTTCTAAAAAGGGGACGAGTGTTGGGGACGATAGACCCCCAAAAACTCATAGTTTGTAATTTTATCTTTGTGGAGCTTGTATGCAGATGTATGCGTGGGCATTCCTTACCACCCACGCACATAGTCGATTGATGAACTTATCGATTAAATGTTTAAAAGTTCCATGGCAATATATATATATACGTTTTAAATTGTGTTTGTGGTGCTCACTCGTTTTCTGGCTGTTCGCAGAATATATTTTCCATACCAAGCTTGAACTTCTTCTAGATAGCGGGGCTGGAACGCATCAATAGCTAGATTACTGGTCTTTGATCACTGAGTCTTGTTCTCGTTCGCAGATTTAAGTTAACTCGTGAAGCTTCAAACCTAACTTCTCTACAGTTAATTTTGTGAAACAAACTACTTATATATCTTAAAATCACAACAAATAAAACTATTTACAATGTACGAAACGTTTGCAATATTTATTGGCAGTTTAAGTAAACACAAGTAAGTGAGTAGGTCAGTAAATTCAATGATCAAATATATATGGAGTCTCGTTGTATGATTGATGAAGAATAAAGATAGCTCAGTGAAGTGAGTTTCCTTTGTTGTACTATCATATTTATGGTTAGTATATTTGCTGGGATTTTCTTTTTTTAATTAGTCAATTTCAGTATATCTTAATACAGGCCATCATTTATCGTCAGTCAGTTACAACGTAGGACCAGGTACATATGTACATCGGTCCAAGTTGCCACACCTAACTAGCATAACATGATGAACACCAACTTCATAGAAGTACTTAATTCAGTGGTGGTAATATATAAAAGAAAGATTGCATATAAGGACATAGTACATAAAGAAAGAATTAATCTGTAGAAAGAAAGATATGAAGCGATTTTAATCTCATAGTTTAAGGGAAGATAGAGAGTGTATACACCTACTCCATTGTGATTGATTCTGAACCATATCACCCACAGTCTCCAACCATTGGTTACGACAGTTACACGGACCCCAACCAAGTAGTTTGCATCTACTAACATGGCTCAGACTAGAAGTTAGTGACTACAAGCACTGATGTCACGTTTTGGTTTGGCCACCCCTAACTTTCTCCCAACCATCCCCGACACTACTCAGCATTGCATGTCGTGGTATTCGGTGTTCAAGCATATGTAACACGTGACCCAACCATCTCAGTCGATGAAGATTCACAACCTCATCAAATGATTTACCATAATTCCCTAATACCCTGTGTCTAACCTCACCATTACTTACCCGGTGATACCAGCAGCTGGGAGCAATATTTTTTAAACATCTGTTGTCCAATACCAGTAGCCTACGAGTATCTTCTACTCTTAATGGCCACATTTTGCAACCATCATTTATAACAAATTTATTAACTATAAAAACGTGTGTATAGCTTAAATAAATGAAACTTTTCAGAAAATTCTCTTTTCTAAATTGTCTTTTTTCTTTATAAATGTAACATTGATCATTCATGATATTCAATCTAAGCTCAACAATCTACATAACCCTATACTGATAAATGTAATCATTGTCTACAAAAATGTTGACCTACTATTTTTACCATCTTATGTTTATTAGCAGAAAAGTTTGTGAGAAAAACTGTACTTTTAAGACAATTAATTATAAATGAGTTACGATCAAAGTTGGACAGATTCCTGGATTCATTTTATTGAAAGTTTGATATATCATGTATTAATTGTGATTTTGTAGATCAGTCTCGCAATCATATGAAGTGTATTAGCGAAAACTGGAATCTGTATACATTTTAGTTTGGAGGCACTTAGTTTTTCAAAATGATGTGTGGAGGATAGTCATTGACGTTTCGTCTATACAATAATACCCGGATTATCAAAATGCTTGAAAAACGTGTGTGAGTACAAAAATTGCCTGTCGCAATTATACTACTCAAACGATTAATAAGTAGTCTAGGATATCTCACTACATTATTAAATAGTCCGATAGCAATTTTCTCGTTATCATTCTAAAATAAATTTTCTGATCACCAAAACACTGGTTAATCGTTCTACAATTAATCGAATACTGGGCATAAATCTTGTCACGAAGTTTTAAACATGCTGCATCTTTGTTTCACGTTGACAATCAACAAGCTTGTTCAAGAAAAATACATCAGAAAACCTACTTGTTTTAAAACTAAATGCTTAACAAATCAAAAGTGAATTACATTTCCCAAAATAACTAACTATTGAGCAATCAATGTACATACATACTAAAAAGAAAAAAACAAAAGATGTCTTTGGCATTTAACTATAGTTGGTAGGTCAATACACTGAAGAAGACAAATAACACGAACAACAATAACAAACGAAATGAAATAACCACAATTCTGTTGTTGTTTGTTTTCCGTTCACAATTCAGTTCGTCAGGATTTAGTTCCTGTTTATAGAATTCTAATGTATAACACAGTGTAAATTCAAGATGATTCCTTGTCTTTACTTTCCAATCGCATTATTTATACACAGTAAATAATTGTCACAATGACAAACAGAAGAATCCTTTACATATGTAAATAAACAGATTATATATATATATATATATATATATATATATATATATATATATATATATATATATATATATATATATATATATAAGTGATCAAGATAGATTTAATGGCATTGTTTTTGAATTGATTATTGAAGAAGATTTAATTTGATTTTCTACAATTTCAATTTTCTTCAAAATTAAATTCGATCTACAACGTGCTTGTTGAATGGCAACTTTGGTAATTTCATAATTTTGTATGAAAAATTCCACATCATTCTAAGTTATGGAAAAGAAAGAATCATTATAAGTTGTATGTTTCTTTTTCAGATAAATATTACACCAAATATTTTTCCTATCATTCTCATAAAAACTAAACTGGCCTCAAACACTATCATGCGATAAAATGCTTCGGTGAGATTATAATATATGGACGAGCTTTGAGCGACACCAGACTGACCTTGAGAGTGTTCAGGGATTATAATTATGATTTACGGTCGATGATTAAGATTGGGAATTAGATTTAGGGTTTTCATCACGAACTGACATCAGCTACAATGCCAAAACTCTTCAGCCAAAAGGACGAGTGAATTTCGCGCCAAAATCCAAGATCTATTATGTCATACCTGCTTGGTTCGTCCGTAAATTGTAGTCTCGCCAGTGCTTCTAACAAGCTTGTCTTATAATAGTGAATATAACAAGAGATAAGTAGTGTTATGACTTTAAGCTCAGTTAGTTATCACGTGATTTGTTAGTCAATCGGAATACCACTTACGCAACCTTGGTACTGTGCCCAACTAACGACGTATCGACCGATATGAGCAGCCTAGCGTCCTTATTCTGAGAACTATTAATGGACTAATATTATATATACATTCCCATTGTATAACCGCTCAGTAACGAGATTATTTATATCTATATTCTGCTTATTATAAGCTTCATTTTTACTCATGGACTATTATTATAGGATTTACTGTTCTTAAGTTATGTTCAGTTTATTGATTACAGTCTCCCACAATCACAACCACTTTTTGGCTTGATCTTGTAGAAATGTTATTTCCTATTTTATGGTGTGATGCGGTCTGCTTGGCTGGTATGTAAACCAAGTATGTTTGAAATGGATGATTCGCATAGTGGAAGCTGTTATTGGCATTCTGGACTCGACTGGATGGGCTAAGCGAATAAAGGATCAATAAGGACGCTAGGCTGCTCATATCGGTCGATACGTCGTTAGTTGGGCACAGTACCAAGATTGCATAAGTGTTATTCCGATTGACTAACAAATCACGTGATAACTAACTGGTCTCGAAGTCACAACAAACTGGCGACTGAGGGTTTGCGGAATCAAGACCACATGTCTCGTTCCTCTTAAAAACTTTCATCAGTTTCTCAGTTATCCCTCATTCATCTGGATCTAGTTTCTTGTGAGTCTGTTGTCTGAAACAATTATGGTGACTAAGTAATTCTTCTGGTTTCTTCTACCATCGTCACTAAGTAATTTTGTAGTGAACAAGAACACGAGTGGAGACAGTCGGATGTATTTGAACACGAAATTACAGAATATCTCACTAAAATCTGAGATCCATACAGTAAATAGTTAATTTGCAAAATATCAATCAGTTGTCTCAAACTTGACTGTTTCTTTTACAAATATCAGTCCGTCGTTTCAGATTTCCTTGTTCCTGCATTTTCATACCAATTGCTTCCCGTTCCCGTTCTTTCCTTCTCTATCTTCTACTGAAATACATCCTATTCCTGACTATCGTTATATAGTACTTATGTGGATATAGGTAGCTCACACTACAACTCTACTGGTGAAAATTCCCAATCGTGTACATACTCTGGCCTGTACCATTACGCTTAGTTGATAGTTACCCTGTGGTACATAAAAACAAAATATTTAGAGTTGTTTAAAGTAAACCATCAGGGATTCGTCTTCGTCTTTTACATATATTAGGAACTATATGGATTCGAGTTGACAACCTTAGTCACCATATTGAAAGGGGACTTATAACATTCTTTTGATCCAATAAGTCTTATTAAATAATTCTACCAATTATCCACGCCATCTGTTTGTTTATTCTTTTTCACTACTTATGTACTCAAAATGATTACTATAACACTTCTTATTACATAGTTTTTAAATAACTTATATCAAAAGGTTTGATTTCCCCAGTTTTGGACTACTTCCTATGTTAAGAACTTATTCAAATTGTTATTTTCTTATCACTACCAATGCACCTGTCATCCTAATGTCAGTTTATACTTTCCACATATGATTGTATACACCTCTACCCAAAATTACTATTCATTATATAGTCTTTTTCATTAGCATACTCGACTTTGAACCATACATTGTTTGACGGTTATTAAAAATAATCATATGACTGAACAGAATTTTGGTTGGATTTGGGTTCGAATCTGCAATCTTCTGGTTGAAAGCTGAGCGCTGAAACTACTAAGTTATAGTTTCATATTCCAGGAAAAGAGAGTTAGCCAAATGAAATCATTAAATCTAGAAAGCGAAAATCGTCAATAAACTCAATGTGTTATGAAGATGAAGAAGGAATTGATGAAGGAAAAAAGACACTAAACATTTAAATTATTTAAAAAGTTATTACTCACCGAAAAGTGAGCAAGTAAAAGGAGACCTAGACAGAAAAATTTGTTACGCCTTTTTATGTAAAACGGTCTAACTGGAAGTCCTTTGTGAAAGTTGCTTTCAAACATTAGACAATCCACGCCTGTTCTTTGTATGCTTATAACCTTAAAATAAACAACTTTGTTCACCATCATTTGATGCTCAAAATTCATACTGAAATCTCACTGCAGTCATATTGTTTAAAAATACGCAAATATTTTAGAGATGTACATCGATTTTGATATTTTCTTAACAAGACAGTGTTTTACATTGACTAATCACTAGATTCTAGTTCGTGTCTATTAATTAAGTTTCGTGGAGTTCTATCGATCATGCTGTAGTTTGGTTATTTATCTCAGTTACTTAGAGCCGTTTGTACTATATTTGATATTAGGTTCCTGGAGGCAATGACAGGAAGTTCAGATTGACCAAGATTTTGTGTTATTTGGAATTCGTCAACAAGGAATATCCATTACCTTGAGGTGTCACTTCGCTCTCTGAACTGCCTGTGTAATTTTCATGGAATCCTACAACTACATATAATGAAATACTTTAAACTTGATTCAAAATATGAGATTAGATTCAATCAAATAGTGTTACCAGTTGCATTAGGTTTTCAAGCTCATTATTTGTTCGCTAAACTCAAACTACTAATAAGTAGTGTTTACTTGTTAAATGAAATACAAATGCATTCAGATTTTTATAAAATATATTCAAGTTAATAAATTGGACATAAATCCATTAGTTCTTGCTCAGTTAACTAGATGTATAGATTGTTGAATTTATCCAAACTGACCCCCGTAAAGAAAGTTATATCTACTTGGATTTCGTCTGTAAGTGTTGGTATTTCTCCATTGTTGATACTAAAAACTGGGTGGATCGCCTCTATTTCACAATTTAGTCACGAGGTTTTGGTAAACCTGGATTGTATCCACTGAACAAGTAATTGGCCAGCTGGGATCAGTAGTTTAGTAGATAACACGTCGCTATTAAACGTCAATGATACTGGGTTCGAAACTCAGTGTGAACAACAACACTGGCACATTCAGCTGACGTGTTCTAAATACACTTAAATATCCATCGTGAATATCACTATCAAACACAATCTAACTTCACTAAAGTTTGTTTGATATGTTTAGAGTATTTACGTAGTACATCTAAAATAATATGATTACTAGTATAATTGTAAAAAAATGTTTTTATGGGAGATAAAACACTGAATAGCATCGAGATTAATTCCAAACATTTTGGTGAAAAGTTATAACCGACGAATCCCATTTATGTTGATTATAACTAACTGGCTAATTGTTGGAACTGTGACGATTAAAATCAAAATTATTAGGTGATTTTCACGTTACATAATGAGTTGACTGCAGTTAAAAATATAGCCATTAAATTAGAATTCGATAACCCAAGAGTATCTGTCCTGTTTGTCATGAAGCTTGAAGATTTCACTCCAGATAACTTATAGGTTAGTGATTGTACAATCCCCAAGACTTTCTGTCAGATATCAATGATCCTCTAGCTCCCATTTTTGATGACAGCGATCTTCAGGAAGTTGATATGATTGTGTATGAAAAGATGTTAACTATGTAAAGTCCAGACCAAATGTAAATGATCGTATGATATTTGATATATTATTGAATTAACATTTATATATGGTTTCAAAAGTAGAAATAACTACTTGCTTTGTGAGAATAAAGACATCTGGAAATATGCACAAAATGTGACTCGAACCAAATGTCAAAACAATCACTTCTTGTAGTCTAATCATATGTAGGCTATAAACGCATTCTTTGTTAACTAAAGTCCCTGTAAACGAGACTACTGACCAATTTTGTGAGTCATTGTCACAGCGCAAAATAGAAACAGGCCTTGTGTTTAGAAGAGTACGACAATTATTCATGAAATGAACTTAAATATTCAATATCAGTCTATAAGTGAGAGTTATCACCAAAGAGAAATAACAATGGATTCCCAAACGAAATCCTTCCTAGTTGGAATATGTATGCTTAAAATGAAAGAGTTCACTGTATAATAAAATCAATAGACTGTTTGAATATTGTACTCACATGGATGACATATATGTTCTGTATATCAGAAATGAATCTTTCAATTCATAATCTTTTGCTATCAGCAGTAATACTTAATTAGTCTGTCAGCAACAACGTAGAACTTCGTACGTACGTACATCAGTTGAAGTTGCCATACCACATTAGCACAAAGATACAATTGTCGATTCAAATCCCATAGTGGTAGAGGTAGTAAAAGTATAAACAGTAATAGGAAACATTAGGGTTTGAAGGTGTTAATCAAGGATTATAATCCAGTGAAATAAATTTGGAAAGAGAAAAAAGAAAGAGGCATAAAGAATTTAGAAGATTAGAATTTAGGAGAACACAAAGAGTGGATGCACCTGCGCCATCGCAAACGATTTTGAGCCATGTCATTCAAGGTCTCTATCCATCAGTTGCTATCATCTTGCGGATCACAACCAGGTAGTCTACACCTACCAACATGGCTCAGTCCACTTGTCAATGACTTCATGGACTTGTGCCATGTTTTGGTCTGACCGCCCTTAGCTTTCTCAACCTATTCCTATACCATAAAACATCGCACGTCGGGGCAGTCGGTGGTTGGACATATGTAACACGTGTCCCAGCCATCTAAATTGTTGCAGTTTCAATACTTCATCAATTGATTTGCCATCCTTACATAGTACCCATTTCCTAACAACTGCATTACTTACTCGATGGTCCCAGGATATACGAGCAGTGTTTCGAAGACACCTATGATCAAATACTAGTAACCTACGGATATCCTCTATTCTTACGGGCCATGTTTCACTGCCATAAAGTAGGACGAAACGAACTACTACGCAGTAAACACGTCCTTTGGTTGATAGACGGATATCTCGCCTACGCCATAAATGACGGAAGTTAGCAAAAGCTAGTCGAGCCTTCTGTATCCGTGCTGAGATTTCGTCACACACTAAACCACAAGGGTTGATGAGACTTCCAAGATAAGTGAAGCGGTCGACACGCTCAACTATTTCACTCCCTATCACTAGTTCAAGTGTCGATGCAACCGAATCCTCAAGCAACATTTTGCATTTCGAGGAGGAGAATCGTATCTCGAGCAGTACCACTAACATTACACCAAAGAGTAACGACTAACTATTTTGTCCTGTCCATCAGTATGAACCTAATATTTGACCAGAATATATAAATGAACCTATCCAGATAGAAAAATTCTAAATAAAAACAATGAACTTACATGAGTTAATAATGATGAATCCGTTAATCTGTCCAATATTTGATTAATTATCGGACTGTATTGAATTGAACTAATATGTGCAGGCGGTGGTGAACAATATTTCAAATCACTATTATTATTATGGCTTGGATCGTTTGACAAATATAAACGATAAAAGTTAATTAAATTAGATTGTCTGTTTATCTCTGATTCTATATTGAAATCTTTATCGGATGATATAAATTTATGCTCATTCAACTTAGGACTTGAGGAGTGACCATTGTTACCATTATTATGATTATTATTATTACTGACCTGGAACAAATGATCATCATCAAACCATGTTGTATGTGATAACAATTTATTTCGTTTAGAATATTTTCCCTGTATAGTTGATAGTTGATCATGTTTCGCATCAAAATCAATACTACTATTATTACAATTAGTAGTATTTGTAGTAACATTGGTATTTTCATTATTATTCACATTGTCATTATTTATTAATCTAGGTGAATTTGAAAATACTGATGATGATGACGATGATGTGAAAGGTGAAGTAGTTAAAGAATAGGAAGTACTAGTAGCAGTCGTATTTATATTATTATGATTAGATGAATATGTGTTATTGTTTAATTGTATTGGAGCTGGTAATAATTTCAACAGATTAGCTGGATTAACAGCAGCCATCGCTGTGGCAGCCGCTGCCGCCGCTGCCGCAGTGGCTAAATAATTCCCATCTAAATTGGCATTTTGAATAAATGAATTCGACCAAAATAATGGATCAGTAAATGGAAATGATGTATTATTTATTATATCATTTAATAGATTATTTGATATATTCCAAAGATTTTTATTATTATTATTATTATTACTATTATTATTCAATTTTAACTTATCATCAGCGCCATAAGTTTCAAATTGATCATGTCTCTGTTTAGAAATATCTGTGAAATCTAAACTGTTCGCTGTTGTTGTTGTTGTTGTTGTTGTATGGTGGATAAGTTCATTTTTGATGAATAACTTGTAGGAGATCGTTTCCTAGTGGTGGAAGCGGCAGAGTATGATTTCTCACTTGAATTGTCTAATTTTGATGAAGAAAATAATGATTCATTTTTAACTTTCTCTGCTTGCATCGTCTACAGAAATGAAAAAAGAAATAAATTCAACAGTTAACTTTCACTATCAGTATAGAACTTTATGAGGATTGTTAATTTCTTTTTATAGTTTACATCATGAACTAACATTAGTTAGACAAACATAGGAAATCTGGATGCACTGGACAGCCGTTTCATCATAGTATGGGACCCCTCGGAAGTGTTCGCGCGCAATATCGAAGGTCCTGGGCTCGATTCCCACCTGTGGGATCGCGAATGCGCACTTCTGAGGAGTCCCGTACTAGGACAAAAACGGTCGTCCAGTGCTTCTAGGCTTCCAGTGGTGGTCTAACATCAGTTGATTCATGCTCTCAATCAAAACCTCAACAATCTCCATAACTCTATATTGAGAAACACTGGAAAGTTGTGACCGGTGGAGTTCATTGATATCTAGTATGATAAAGTTACCTGATGATAACACAGAAACATGGTTGTTAAATATAGCAAATTGATTGAAGCTAGACACTTAAACCATTGGATCGTTGATCAGTGATCTAGTGTTTAAACTCCCACCGCGATACCTGAACGTTGACTGTGCGGTCCTCAGTGAGTTTTTTGATACACACTGTTGAGGAATTGAACGAAACGACTATACTGTGTTATCTAACTAGGGTTTATTACTGACCTAAACTACATGACCACTTGACAACTTTTTATCATAATTAAATAGCACACACCTTATTAGTTTTGTCACTATATAAATGAACTTGACTGAACCTACAAGCCACTTTAATCGTTTTCCGTAATGATTGCACTACAGAACTTTTCAAATCAATATCCAACAATTTAAGTATCATATAAAGACTTTTTTACACGGCCCTTTGTCACTTTTATAATGCTTACACATAGAACTGTAAACAGTCCCTCAGCACTGATTTGTTCACCCTCTAGCAGGGTAAATGTTCGTTTGTTAATCTGACAGTTTTGTATAACTTAATTTTTGCACTCATTAACTAAAATTGTCAGCGATTATTAATTTTAAACTAGTATTACGCAATATCGCAGTAAGGGGTATGACTATAGAGTTTAATTTTAATCCATAAAAATTACACCAGTACTAATTAACTTCCAATAAATCAATTACTCACTTGTCTTAAGTAGTCTAAATCTCCAGCTACTAAAGTTAACGCTTTTGATACAAGCTGTCGAGCTTCAATTGACAAACCATTTGCAGGTGGTTCTTTCATATTGATTTGACCTTTATTCTTTTTGGAATTACGTCTACATGCCTTAAGATAGGCACGTATTCGATTACGATGACGTTTCACTTCTAATTGAGGCCATGCTCTTGTACAAATATTTTCTAAAGCTGTTATAGCATGTCTTGGTTGTTCACAAAATGTCACTGTACGATCCAATGTATCATCAACGACACGACGTACAAAATTCTATTGTGGAAGAAAAGAAGTTATAAAGATTATTAATGAAGAATTTTTACATTTGAAATGTATGTTTAATGTCAAATGCTAGTTGTGTATACTTCGTAATTAAATAAAGCCCATTCTGTACAATGTCAGTAACAATGTAATATACATACGTGAACAAAAACAACATTCAGTAAATACTACATAATGCATATGTGTGCCTGGTCCAACGTTGTAGCTGACTGACTGACATAATGTAAAACTTACATTTTTAAACGACCTTCTTGTCTCAAATGATTCTTAGCATTACACAGTGCTTGAGTAATGACAATTTATATATTGACTAATAAACTCCAATAATCATTTAAACATTGAGTACTATATTAGGGACTATCTCTGTTTGTCGTCAGTTGTTACGCAGAGAGTTCCATTAAAACCGGGTAGTTCAACAAACATCCCGTGAATCATCTTTTTTATTACTATTTTGACTCTTAATTACTATGATGTAAAATAAAAAACACTGAGGGTAAAGATGGAGATCACTATGTACAAAATTTCCTCATGGTACAAAGATATTGTAGTGTGGCATTTGATCTCATACATACACTTAGATGCATGTTCATAACTAATTAACTCAATAGACATGAGATTTAGTCTCACTGTCCGACAGACGTTTTCCACCATGAAAGCATCTTAGTCTTCTGTCCCAATAGATTGGTGTCTGACGAGATCTCAGCACAGATCCCAAAAGTTCGTTTGGCCTTTGCCAACTTACGTCACCTATGGCGAAGGCCAGATATCCGTCTATCAATAAAAGGACGAGTATACTGCGTGGCAGTTCGTTCTATTCTGCTTTATCACTGCAAACCGGATAAGTATTAGTGAAGTTAGACACAGGGTATTAGGGAATTATGGTAAATCAGTTGATGAGGCTGTAAATCTATATCGTCCAAAATGATTGGGCCACGTGTTAAATATGCCTGAACACCGATTGCCACGGCGCACAATGCTGACTAGTTAATAAATTTGTTATAAATGGTGGTTGTGAAACGTGGCCATTAAGAGTGGAAGATACTTGTAAGCTACTGGTATTTGACAACAGATGTTTAAAAAATATTGCTCCCAGCTGCTGGTAACACCGGGTAAGTAATGGTGAGGTTAGACACAGGGTAATAGGGAATGATAGTAAATCAGTTGATGAGGTTGTGAATCTTCATCGACTGAGATGGTTGGGTCACGTGTTACATATGCTTGAACACCGATTACCACGGTGCACAATGCTGGCTGGTGTTGGGAGCAGCTGTAAGAAAGTTAGGGGCGGCCAAACCAAAACGTGGCATCAGTGCTTTCAGTCACTGACTTCTCGTCTTCTAGCCATGTTGGTAGATGCAAACTACTTGGTTGGGGTCCGCGTGACTGTTGTAACCAATGGTTGGAGACTGTGAGTGATATAGCACAGAATCGATCACAACGGCTTCCGTGCATACGCTCTTTGTCTTCCCTTAAACCATGAGACTAAATTTTTATTACCTTTCTTTCTACCAACCAATTCTTTCTTCCCGTACTATATCCTTATATACAGTCTTTCTTCTATATATGATTACCATTGAAGTAACTTCTATGAATTTGGTGTTCATCACGTTATGCTAGTTAGGTGTGGCAACTTGGACCAATGCACATATGTGCCTGGTCCTACGTTGTAGCTGACTGACTGACTGGTCTTAGTCCTCTGTATTATGCGTTACAATTTATTACATGAAACACATGAAAATATAATCAAAAGTCATAGCTTCTCATAGAAATGAAGAATAATACGAAAGCAAGTTTATGTTGAACTACGTACGTGGACAGCTTATTAATCAAGAATGTTTTCGTGTAATTGAATTAAAGCCTTATTTTAACACGGAACTTCATGATATTGCTTGGAGACCAATACTGAATTTGGTGAATACTGAATCAAAACTGATTTATTCAGATAAAGACTAGCATTCACGGTTATTTAATAGTCTAGGATGGAATGTTCGAATTAGTCATTCACAATCAGTTAAGAACCATGAAGTATTTCTCAAAATTTTAAGCATCAGAAAGATAATTAAATCAATCATATGAAATTGGTTTTTATCACATAGTGAAATTACCTATAACTAACCATTAACACACAAGATATACAGAGTATAATTACTCGATAGTATGAATCGACTCGAATTGATATGTATAAGAAAATATGAGCATCTTCCGTTCTATGTCACTGAAGCTCAATGGTTCTTTAATTGATCTTCATATCGATTCAATCAAAGAGAATTTAAGAACAGTATCAGTTGTTTAATTATTTAAACATTTCCAAACTGACTGATTGTGTTTCACTTGAATTGATTAGTAATAATCATACTAGAATTCTTTTAAAATAACAATTGAATTGTACGAGATAATAGTTTCACTTAACTTCCATAAACATATACATAAATGTATTATCAGAATGGGGATTTGTGGAGATTTTAGTAAATTAGAACACCATTGGAAACTTGGAAGCACTGGACGGCCATTTTGTCTTAATATGAGAATCCTCAGAAAGCGGTCGTCCAGTACTTCCAGGATTTCAATGGTAGTCTAAGTTCGACCGACTTATGAATTCAACTATTAAAATAAGTGCATTAACTGAAAAAACCGATGATTTCTGTTCTTCAAGGATCAACATATTTTTTAGAATCATTATGACAAGTAGAAGTCTTGTGCTGATGATGTCATTCACAAGAACGATGAAAATTAAACGACCAAACCATCCAGCTCAGAGAACAAAACTCCATCAACATTATGACGAGTCCTGATTTCTTTCGTAGAATATCGATAGTTGAAGGACAATGATAGAAACATCAAATCTAAATTTTAAGCACATCACTTGAAATTAATTAATTTCAACTTCAAATTATTAAAAATCAGACTTGAACATATCTGCATAGGGTTGTGGAGATTATTAAGTTTCTGATTGAGATCATGAACTGATTAAAGCTAGGTCACCATGGAAAACGTTGAGGCACTGGACGGCTGTTTCATCCTCTCGTGGGACTCCTCAGCAGTGTGTGTGCAAGATACCGATCGCGAGACTGGAAGTCCTGGGTTTGAGTCCCGCCAATGAGGTCGTGGATATGCACTCCCGAAGAGTCCTACGATAGGACGAAACGGCCGTCCAGTGCTTCCAGGCTTTAAATGGTAGTTTAACATCAATCGGTTCATGATCTTAATCAAAAATTGAACATATCCATTTTATCCGTGTTTGAGATCTATTAACTACGAGACACTTGCATACTTCAAACACAAACTCAACCCTCAAGATTTTCAAGATCACACAGTGAACCCAATACTATGTCAGTTAATAATAAAAATCCTTTTCAAATTATATAATAAAACAATCTTCATTAATGAATTCATTAACTAACATTATACGCAGCAGTTGTAAGCTCCGATGCAGATGATAATTCATTATCTATTTCATCTTTATGATGATTAACATTCATTGTATCATTGAAAGTGTTCCAATTACCATTATTCGTCAATTTGTTTGGTATATTCTCACGACTGGATCCTTTTTTAATCGATTGTTTTAATTGTATACGATTTGTAGATAGTTCATTTGTCAGTTCTTCTTTATTATTTTCAAACTGTTCATATGAATTCATCCAATGTGAATATGTTCTATTCATATTTGCTTGTTGATTAAAAAATTTAAATTTTGGATAATCATGAATTAATTCATCATATTCATATGTTTTATTAGTAGTATAATTATAAACTGCTGATGGTTCAGGAATAATTGAACCAACTTGAAGCATCTAATAATTACGAAGAGAAAAAATGAATGAAAAGAAAAGTAGAACCAGAATACCGATCAACAATTTTAATGATCATTTCATTGATTCTAATTTGAAATTACATGATTTACAGGGTGGGACTATAATCAGGTATAAGATAACAGGTCTCGGATTTTGGCGTGAAATTCACTCATCCATTTGGTTAAATAGAGTTTTGGCATTATAGCTGATGTCAGTTCGTGTTAAAATCTCTAAATCTAATTCCCAAGCCTAACCATCAACCGTAAATCATAATTCTTATTCCTCACACTGGTCCTAGTTATTAGGTGAACACTCTCACGGTCAGTCTAGCGTCGCCCTAAGGTCGTCACTAAGTAATAACAAATGTCGTATTCTTTAGTACTGGTTAAATTCTATCTATTAAGTTGCAATATAGCTACTAGATTAAGCGATCAGCATTGCTAAACTGATCGCTAGAATTCAACCAACATCAAGTCACACTTCGTGGTCAGCACCCAATGTGGATTATCCCTTCATCATACCAAGGTAATATGGATGCTTTCAAGACCATACAATACAAAGGAAGTTATTACAGAAATATATTAATATCAGATGGGTTTTGTGGACACTATAGTAATTTCAATGGTTAAGATCATGAGTCAGTCGAAGCTAAACCACCATGGAAAACCCGGGAGTACTGGACGGCCGTTTCGTCCTATTGTGGGACTCGGCAGTGCGCGTCCATGACCTCGCCTCCCGCGGGGCCCGAACCCAGGACCCTACTGGTTCCGCGATCGAACACCTAACCACTAGACCACTAAGCCGGCATCCGATGGTGTTAATGTCCAACTTCAACTAATCCATGGTGGTCTAGCTTCAACTGACTCATGATCTTAACCATAGAAATATATTAGTTAAATTAGGTACAGGCGAAAGCGTGATCACCACCGCATGGGCCAGTCCGTGACGTACAACTAAGTGATGCGCGTTGGTTGTCCCTGACCTAGACGGGGATCATCGGTAAGCTGTTCGATATTCAGTAACCCAACTGCATGATGATTTGACTAGGGCTCTGTGACATTTCATTGGCTCTACAGTGTTTGACCAAAAACTATCATCCGAATGAAAACTATTCAACTAACTGAACTAGGTGACATTAGTCTCTCAACAAGACCCAGTTAAATTATATCAAATGATTAAGGTAAAACTAGATACAATTTATTAATTGATTTCTTTCACTGTTAATAACTCGAATTCTATGAAAATTCGTTTTTCCATTAGATTCTAAACACCATTTACGTACATACATATGGTTGTTTCGATCAGAGTTAGATCAAATAGCCTACTTATTAAAAACTAATATACCTCCATTAAGCTTTTATAGGTAGAATCTGATAAAAACAAATCTATGATTGTACCACTATTGAGATGTTCTAATTTCTTTACATCTTTTCTAAATTAGAAAATTAATTTTCCTGATCTACGATATTATTGATTATAATCAACTCTGTACACCATAATAATAATAATAATAATAATAATAATAATAATAAATAATAATAATAATACTTAATTGTTGAATTCATGAGTCAATTGAAGCTAGACCACACCATGGAAAGCCTGGAAGCACTGGACAGCCGTTTCGTCCTACTATGGGGCTCCTCAGCAACGCGCATCCACGATCCAGCCTCACGAGATTCGAACCTAAGACCTATCAGTCTCACACATAAGCGCTTAACCACTAGACCACTGAACTGGTCGGCATTCAACAGTGTTAATATTTAACTTCAACCAATTCAATATTAATTTTAATCAGAAAAAAAGAACTACTTACATTATCATCCACAGTTCTTCGTTTCTTTACATCTATAATACATTCTTCTTGATGTTTTTTTTCTCCATTCAATGATAAACATAAATTATTTTTTGTATGATGATATTTTAAATTTGTTAAAGTATTCATTGAATTTGAATGATTCCATTGATTTTCAACAGTACTACGATGACGTTTCTTTGAAGTAGAATTCATTAAAGATTTTTCTGTTGATTTTATTTCTAATGATTTACAACGTACAGGGAAATTGTTATTTTCATGAATTATACTACTTTCTATATCATTTGTAACAGTAGCAGTAGTAGTAGTAGTAGGAGGAGGAGGAGGAGGAGGAGGAGTAATAATAGTAGTGGTAGTAGTAGTAATAGGATCTATGATATTAGATGATGTTGTAATTGTATTCGTAGTATTTAAATCAATTGGAGTCAATTCAGGATATTGAATATCTGAATTGAATGATTCACAAATGATAGAAGATGAAGTCTAAAATGAAATGTTTACAAGAAAAGAAAAACAAAACAAAAGATCAAATAAATGATCCAATATCATTTGAATAGATCAATTCTTTTATTAGATATATCAATATAATCAACTTACCATTAATGATAAATGATATAATGATAAATTATTAGAATTATTAGAATGAAACATTTCAATGTTGATAATATTACTCTTATTCTTATTAAGTAGATATATCGAATCACTTAGTGAATATTTATACAGTTCATTATAGAATGAATTAAATACTCATCAAAAACTTTGGACAACATTTAATGACCTAGACTAATAGTACTAATCGATATATCAATAGTGATATATATACGGTATATATGGTGTATATATATATATAAGAATAAAAAGTGGAGTTTCACTCAGAAACATACTTTATCATATGTACTGTGATCAGTATTAACTCATCTATCTCATGTACATTGGTCAAGCCACCTTAAATCAATACTACTACTACTACTACTACTACTACTACTACTACTAATAATAATAATAATAATAATAATAATAATAATAATAATAATAATAATAATAATAATAATAATAATAATGGTAATGATAATAATGTGACTTATTCAAGTATTGTTAAGATTAAGAAAAATTATTGATTTTATTGGGGTATGTTTTGTTGTTGTTGTTGTTGTTGTTGCTGTCGATTCCATTGTGCCTCTATTTGAGAAACTATTTAATTAACTGATTCATCATAGATTATAAAAGTTTTATATTTTGATAATTTTTCAATTGAATTCATATAAAGATAACTATTTAGAAAGTGTAAAAATTTATTCAATTCAAGGCATAGTACTAAGAAATGTTTAGAAAAAAATATATAGATAGATAGATATACATAGATAGATGATATGGATTTATACATTCAATGTTCTAACCTAATTAATTGACAAAACAATAATGGTTCACAGATAACACTTGTATATATGTATATCACTTTTATAGGTGTAAAGGTTGTTAACAGATTGTTATTTGTACCAGAGTAGTAGTTGCATAACATTATATATGTGTCATATATGTATATAAGTATTAATTTCAAAGGTATTGTAATGTGTGCTACTAATGTCGATAGATATAAGTAGCATGTATCATCAATCGAAAGTAAACTACTTGATCGTAGAAGGTTAAGATGATTAAATAAAACAAAACGAGAATAATGAATGATTAATGTGGAAACAAAAGAACAATGGAATAACATTTTGTATATAAAGTATTTATTGTATGATTCTCAGATTTTATGAAATGATTCTGTAATTTTATATTCAAATACATTCAGTTTTCCCCATTTATGTGTTCTTGTTCATTACAGTACTATGGAAATCTCACAATTGATTGATCACTGGGTGGTGATCAATGTCATATGTGTCAAGTTCTGCTTAGTGTAGATCGAATCCTATCGACCAAGTTGCAATGTGGCCAAGTAGCACGAAACTCGGGTTCAGGGTTTCCTATTGACCACCTACAACCACCATCTAACTATACAAATCTACCTAAATCGAGTTCATAATATTAAATTAATTATCAATTTATTGATATTAAAATCTATTTCTAGAGTAGTGACTTATTTTGATCAGTCTAGTTTTAGGATACTACTGGCAAGCAATAATCAACACTTTCAAATGTGTTTAAGATTCTTCAACTGTATGATTTTGTAATCCTGGATTAAGTTGTATTCATTGATATCATACTCGTTATGAAGTTTGAAGGTCATAGGTTCGACCCTGTTTTTAATTATGTTTAAGTTGATGTAATTTTAAAACCGTTTGATGTTTAATAAACCATCTTAACAAATATATTTTTTCTTTGACTGTGCTCGGCTATTCTCCATCACAATGGCCAGTTGATTGGAGGTCTGTATCTTACACTTGTTGGTAGACCATGCTGACAAAGACGCTCGTGGAGAAAATACAGTTGTTCTCGAAGGGAAGCCTGCTTTTTGGTGGAATTCTCCCATTTTCGAACAACGATAAGCTTACTACGTTTATATGTTTTCCAGATGGTGGAGAAGATTCGTAGCACAAGTGGATGATTTTGGTGGAATTTTTTCTCTGAGCTAGATGGTTTGGTAGTTCAACCTTCATCGTTCTTCTGAACGACATCATCAACACAAACTTCAGCTCAGAGAACAAAATTCCACCAAAATATTTTTTACTGAAACACAACAAATAATCAAATTCACTTGGTGTTGTTTTACATGTATCTTCTCATTGTTATTTAGGACTGCAATTGATCAGTCTCATATTAACATATGTGCATCCTATGCGGATTGCCTCGATATAGCCTTAAGTCACAAGATTTCTAAGCAAAGATGGATAATGGCTAGCAGTGGGATCCAGGACACGCGTTTTATCCTATTTCGAACTTGTTGGCTGGATGTACCTGCATCCGAGTTGGTGTTCACTCCGGGACTCGAACCCAGTATCGTTCGTTTCAAACACCATCACGTTATCCACTTAGTTACTGAGTCCTGATAGCCACTTGCTTTTTGCAATGTGGTAAAGTTTTAATTCACTTGATGTTGTTTTACTTGTATCTTCTCAATGCGATAGCGTTTGAAGCGAAAGGTACTGGGTTCGAGTCCCGGAGACAACATCAACCCTGAGATGCGGATACATCCAGCTGACGAGTCCCAAATAGGACAAAACGCGTGTCCTGGATTCCACTGCTAGCCACTATGCACTAAATAATCAGTTAAAAGTGATCTTAGATTAAAATATTAAACCATGACTATTATCATTCTTGGCGCTGTCCATCAGTTCAGTTACAGTGATTTAACAGTTGTATATCTGGCATGAAACATTTAAACTGAGTTTACTCAAATCTAATAAAATAAACTATTCATTTACTTACCATAAGTTGAATATTTCAATTAATTTGCATTATTTTCATTAGAGATATATTGGTGATAATTAGTACTAGTAAATTTAGTGATTGATCTTCATATCACCTAATAAAGTAAAACATGAAAAAAAATGATACTGGGTAAATGATAGTACTTAATAAGAAAAAAAGTAGTAAATACTGGAAACATGAATAAATAAAGATAAGAAAACGGGAACTGGCTATCCTGAAGAATCCAATTCCATTTTTACCAACTAAAGTTTTAATTCATTTTGTATTGTTTGTTTAAATCTTTCCATTGATGTTAAGGACTAGAAGTGATCAGTCACTTATTGGCACATATGCATATTGAGCGGATTATCTCGATATTACCTTGAGTCACAAAGATGGATGGTGGCTAGCAGTGGAATCTGGGATGTATGTTTCATCCCAATTGCGACTCGTCAGCTGGATGTACCTGCATTCCAACGTTGAGGTCTACTCCGGGACTCGAACCCAATATCGTTTGCTTTAATTACTAGCTTGTGCAATGGGGCAAAGCTTTAATCCATTTTGTATTGTCTGCGTGAATGTTCTCATTGATGTTTAGAACTGAAATTGACTAGTCTCTAGTGGTTATCAGGACTTATTTACTAAGGATAACACGATAGCGTTTGAAGAAAATGGTACTGGGTTGGAGTCCCAGAGTGAACATCGACTTTGGGATGCATGTACACCCCGTGATGAGTCTCAAATAGGACGAAACGTTCGTCCTGAATTCCACTGCTAACCGCCATCCATCTTCACTTATAATAACTGAGGTTTGTTTAATGAATAGATACCCTTCACCACAGCCACAATTATAAAATTCTTCATCGACAAAACGGCAAGTATGAATAATGATATTTCATGGTAAGGACTGTGTTATAGTTGTAGGTGTGAACTTCTTGATAAAGAATCTCGAGTTATTCATAATAATCTTTGATCAGAGACTAGATAACATGGCTCATAAGTAGTGATAGTAGCACAGATGTATTAATTCTGTATGTTCCCAAAAATATTGAATTTTAATGTTAGTCTATACATTCGATTCCTCAATTACATTTGTCTCTGTTAAACTGTAAGTTAAACTTAATTGATAAACACAAACACAAATGATTGTTATGATAACACAGAGAAATTCTAGCCTCATTACTACTCAGTTAAAAACAGGTCAAGTTGATAAGGAATAAAGTTAAGTATTATATACAATTTTTACGAGATAAAAAAAGCTTTTATGGTTCATTGTGAATTCTCGTATTATAAAATGTAATTTTTTTCTGTATAAGAACTGATTTGTACGATTTCAAATCATTCTCTCCTGGAAACCATTACGTGAGTATAGTTGAATTCAGTTACTATGATCGTCCCATATAAGTTGTACGCAATGAAATCTGTGAGCAATCATTTCATGATAAGATTTAATTTCGATATCAACAGTGAAACTGATCAGATTCGTGATTGAGATCCAAAAACTAATTGATGATAACCACCATTGAAAACCTGGAGACAGTGGACGGCCATTTCGTCCTGTTGTGGGACTCCTCAGCAGTGAGTATCCACGATCCCGTCCCGCTTTTTTAATAGCGATCAACTTACTCAAATCGAAAGCTTTCTTTTTCAATGCTTTACTGGCGTTTTAATTGACAATCAAAAATTAAATATCGAAGTTAGACATTAACACCGTTGCATGCCGACTCAATGATCTAGAGGTTAAGCGTTCACGCGCGAGATTGAAGGCCCTGGGTTCGAATCATGCGAGTAAGATCGTGGGTGCGCTCCACTGAGGAGTCCCACAATAGGACGAGACGGCCGTCCAGAGCTTCCAGGTTTTGAATGGTGGTTTAGCATCAATCGGTTCAAGATCTTAATCAATAATTTAATAATCTCCACAACCATATAATGATGATAAGATTCTGACAAGTAATAACCATATACTTTTTTTACTGATGCACCATGACATTGAAATCACATTTACGAGTCTGATTAGTTCAATCTAACAACATCGGCTCAATAATTCTAGATATTCTTTATGTTTAGTTTTCACCTATGGATATTCTTTTGATTTTTATCCTGTTAATTTTCTTCCCCACTGTGTTGATATAAATCTTGATAACATGAACAGATGTATATTTGTTCATAATTTACTGAATTACTGACTGATCGATTGGGAAAAAACAAACTATTCAAAGTGAATTCATATGCTGAATGAAAATCCTAAATATGGTCTATTTCAACAATGTTTGATTACAATATGATCTATATATGTTCGTATATATTTGTATTGTTCATAATTTTAGATAATGGCTTTTATACATTACTGTCTATCGGCAATGAAACGTATATGTTATCAAGTGATTTGCAATAGTTTAGTTGAGTGGAAGGGATTTTTAACTACAACCTGAGATTAATCTTAAAACTACTACAAACTACGCAAAAATAAACAATAGTTTCATCTCAAAATGGAATTCCCTGTGTTAGACGTATGACCTAAAAGAAGATATTCAATTTTTTGCGGTTAGGATTTAGTTATTTAGTCGTTTGGTAAGCAAATGATGATGATTGAAATTAATTTTTGTTTGAGATCATTAATCGATTGATGTTAGACCACCATTGCAAACCTGGAAGCACTGGACGGCTGTTTCGTCTTATTGTGGGACTCCTCAATAGCGCGTATCTACGATCCCACAGGCAAAATTCGAACCCAGGGCCTTCAATCTCGCGCGTGAACGCTTAACCTCTAGATCATTGAGTCGGCATGCAACGGTGTTAATGTCTAACTTCGATATTTAATTTTTGATTGTCAATTAAAACGCCAGTAAAGCATTGAAAAAGAAAGCTTTCGATTTGAGTAAGTTGATCGCTATTAAAAAAGCGGGACGGGATCGTGGATACTCACTGCTGAGGAGTCCCACAACAGGACGAAATGGCCGTCCACTGTCTCCAGGTTTTCAATGGTGGTCTAACATCAATCGATTCATGATCTTAATCAAAAATCTAATAATCTCCATAATCGTATACTGAAATTAATTTGTCAGTATTGTACAATCAATATTTAATATCACCACTAGTTATCTATCCATTTTTTAATGCATGACTGAATAGTTACATTGTGAATAGCTCTTTAAACTTTTAAACATCACTGATAAGTGTAAAAATTCAATATGGTACATTTCGTTTACGGTTTAGTGATTTTTCCATAGACACTAATTTTATGTTAGGTTTATTTCTATCATAATAGTTATCACACCAATAGCTAAGTATAGGCGAATAAGCATTTTCTTTTTTAGATAGTCTTGAGGATACTTCTAATTACATCATACAACCTTCAGTAGAAAAAAACAAACAAACGAGTAAAACCCAGACATAAAGAGAGGGAGATAGAGAAATATCTAACACTTGAAGAGTTCTTTGTAGTTCTACTTAAAATCTTAGCTCACTTAATCATTTTCTAGTTTTAAAATGTTCAAATGATGTAATTCAGATCATTATTGATCTAATAACTTGGAATGTAATTGTTGGGTATGTATGATCCCCAGAACTCACTTGGTAAATACCTTATTTTTGTAATTTTATTTTAAAAATGTGAATTTCTTGTTTTCGGGCTAAAAGCGTTCATTTTTACCTTCATGTTGTATTTCTCACTTGAGAGGATATTAAACGCTATTAGTTCGTTGTATCTTTTAGTATGCTATTTTATAACGCCTCCCAAGGATAATTTTATGCTGTACATATATACGTTTGATTTGTGCCTGTTGTGATTTGCTCGTGCTTCTGACTGGTTGTGGTATATATTTCCCTTTCCCGAACTTAGACTTCTCTCTCTCTAGTTAACGGAAATGGGACACGTTAGAATAGCTAGCTTATCTGTTAAGGTGTCACAGAGTCTTCGTTCCTTTCTCAGATTAAGTGAACTTGTAATCGTTTAAACATAACAGTAATTATCTCTATAACCATGAGATTGAATAATACCTGTTCAAAATATAGTCAATGTTCTTCTTTGAATAACGGTTAGAACTGACTTAGCATTATTAGCGACATCACTCCAATATAAACAGTTAAATAACATTTTTAAAATAGTCATTTTAATCAAATGTATACAACTTAGTTCCATAATATCATAATATATATATATATATATATATATATATATATATATATATATATATATATATATATATATATATATATATATATATATATATATATATATATATATGCAAAAGACGCGCTCGTAAACCATGTGGAAAATTTAATGGAATACGGTAGATAACTTTAAAAGCTTTATTCAATTCAACTTGATGACCTGTGTCCATCAGTTTCTAAATCAGTCAGTCAGTCAGTAACAACGTAGAACTTCGTACGTACGTACATCAGTTCGAGTTGCCACACCACATTAGCACAGAGATGCACTTGTCGATTGAAATCCCGTAGTGGTAGAGGTAATAAGAGTATAAGCAGTAATCGGGAAGATTAGGGTTTGGAGATGTTATTTAAAGAGTATAATCCAGTGAAAGAAATTTGGAAAGAGGAAAAGAGGGACATGAAGAATTCAGAAGATTAGAATTTGGGAGAACACAGAGAGTGGATGCACCTGCGCCATTGCAAACGATTTTGAGCCATATCATTCAGGGTCTCAAACCATCGGTTGCTGTCATCTCGCGGTCCCCAACCAGGTAGTCTACACCTACCAACATGACTCAGTTCACTTGTCAGTGACTGCATGGACTTGTGCCATGTTTTGGTTTGGCCGCCCCTAGTACTAGTAAATACTAGTAACCTACGAATGTCCTCTACTCTTACCGGCCATGTTTCACTGCCATAAAGTAGGACGAAACGAACTGCTGTGCAGTAAACACGTCCTTTGGTTGATAGACGGATATCTCGCCTATGCCATAAATGACGCAAGTTGGTAAAAGCTAGTCGAGCCTTTTGTATCCGTGCTAAGATTTCGTCACACACCAGACCACAAGGGCTGATGAGACTTACAAGATAAGTGAGGCGATCGACACGCTCAATTACTTCACTCCCTATCATTAGTTCGGATGTCAATGCATCCCAATCAAGAAGCAACATTTTGCATTTCGA